ACTATATTTATAAGCAAAAAAAGTGACATCATTTTTTGTCCAATAAAATCCACCAAGTTAGACATCTAGTTTATATAATATATCATCTAGTTTATATAATTTAGTTTGTTTTAGGGTTTTCCGTTAATTATTAGTATTTTGAAAAAACAGAGCCAAAGGTAATTTGATTCCAAATAAAAGTATTCAAATATTTTGTAATGTGATTTGCCATTTGTTCAAATAAATCATATTTCTGAAAAGTCTCATGACTTATCGGCTAAAAAACCATCTGATTCTGTCAAAAAGTCTAGATCATTGCTGGAGTTTTAAAAAACTATACAGTTAATTTCTTTTTCATACTGGTCCCTATGCACTGAAGGTACAAATTAAATTAACAGAATCAATGCATTGGTTATGCATTGATGCTATTAAACTGCTATTTACTGGTTTGGATGACTTGATTATTAAGGCTGTGGATTATTATGGTCCAACATTCATTACATACAATTTACATAACCTTATTCATTTGTCATAATTTTTTGAATGATCACTCCTTGATATGTCTGCCTTTTTATTTAAAAAATTATTAGTTTTTGGTAAGAAGATGCCACTTGATCAAATGGTCAAGTGTCCAAGTGAAATATAACTAGTTCGGATTGGAAGAAAAAACACCTAATAAAGTAATCACTAGTCTTAAAGAGAGTTTATTATAAATACGATTTTTGATTCTTTGCTTAGTGAAAATGTACCATTTCAGTTTCCTTATATACCATGCAATTTATGTTATAAGAAAATATATTGTCTTTGCCAAAATAACACTTGTAAAAAAACAATTTTCCAGAAATCTGAACTCAAAGATATGTCTTTTAAGGGTCGGAACACAAAGATATATCTTTTGAGGGTAAAACTAGAAATATTTTTTTTCCATTATGTCATGATTGTGTGTTTTAAAGTAATTTTGTTTATTTATTCAATTCAAAATATTTTGAGTTTCATTAGTTTTTAAGTTTATTGAGGTATTGTTTTTTCTATTTCAGATAAAGTTGTTAAACGATTTACAGTCAATATTCTTTCGGAAGCAGAAAAACTCAGGTGAGCATTAAATAGAACGTTAGCACTATTTCTGGTATTTCTGGTATTTCTAATTTTTCATTTCGAATGTTTATTATTTAGTTCTTAAAAATGCTTTGTTTGTAATTGGATTTGTTTGTAACTTTATGTAATATTCTATGTAATTAGATTTGTTTGTAGCTTTGTTTCTTAATATATTTTCGTTTTTTAGTGTCAAACAAAGAATATGCAAATTATTGGTTGGAATATGCAAAGAAAGTAAAAATCAAATTAGTTTTATTCTAAGTTATTGTATATAATTTGATAGTATTTAAATTCTCTACATTTAAATATTGATAATTTTAAAAACTTGGAATAGAAGTATATCAATGTTTATTTATTTTTAGTCTTTTAATTTCCGTATTCAATTATTTGCCCGGACTAATATAATGATCGTGTTTGACCTTAATAAATACGAAGAAAATAAAACTTTAAAGCGCAAAGTTATACAGTGTAAAATTGTGCTTTATTGGTTTTGCAGTTTAGAAATAACATCAAAAATGATAGAAAAACGTTTTTAGGGCGTTTTTCTTACAACGTTTGGCCAACGTCGTTGATATAACGTTGACCTATGTTTCATATATGCCTTTATTCTAACGTTTAAACAACGATAGAAAAGACATTGGCTCAACGTCATTTTAGCTAAAATATAACGTTTGCCTATCGTCCTTATAACGTCTTTTTTTCTTAAAATTACAACTAACGTCTTTCCGACGTCATTCAGCTAAAATGTAACGTTGTCACAACGCCATTTTACATCGTTGTAATAACGTTAGCAAAGAGACGTTTTTTCGGTGTTTCATTTATAACATCATGCCAACGTCTTTCCAACGATACGAAAGACGTTAGAACAATGTTGTCCCAACGTCATTTTTCTTATTGGGACGTATAAACAAACGTCATCAATGATGACTGCGTTTATACTAAAACATTAATAAGGTAATTTAATTGATAGTATGAATTGCACATTCTAACATCTAGTGCAAATATCTGTCCGCTTTCTCTATACTATCATTTTAACTCAACTTCTTCTGGCCCGGGTATGTAAACTCTTATGGAAAATAGCGTAAGTAAGATAAACCACAACACCCAATACCCTAACCATTTTACGTTCTTCGTCCTATGATCTTCGTTCAAAGGTTTTCGTTAAAAGATCTTTATTTATAGATCTTCGTTGAAAGATCTTCGTTAAAACATCTTCGTTGAAATATCTTCGTTAAAATATCTTCGTTGAAAGATCTTCGTTAAAATATCTTCGTTCTATGATTTTCGTTCTACGATCTTCATTCTACGATCTACGTTCTTTCTTCTTCTATTTTAGTCACTACTTTCTTCTTTGCCCGGCTAACTTGTCACATTTTACTATCTTGTCATCAAATTAACTTTCAAACAACCTCCTTTCTTACAAGTTTAATCAATTAAACATATTAGTAATAAAGACCTCATCTATTCATATTAAAAACGTGTTTAAGCACATTTAAAAAGTTACTAAATAGAATACGTTAATCGTAAACCACAAAATTTTTACTGACTATTTCCAATACAATTACACATATATATGCTTAATGTGTTTAATGTTTTTTTTTTTGTTATTTTTTTATGTATAGAAAATTATTTTTGTTTATCTATTTTTAAAGAATAATAAATATACAATTAGAAATAATAATTTTATTTTGAAACATTCTCAAACACTCTTGAGTCCTTAATAAAAAGATGGAGAGGACATATGTAAATTTTTGGCAAATTTTCCCACCCTAGCTTATTAAAACCCTCTCGCCCTTCCCCCTCGCAGATTAAAAAAAAATCTTTTAGAAATTTATTTTATAATATAACTAATAATTGCAACAACTTGCTATGTGCTGTCTTATATTTATTTGAGCTATATGATGCTTTAATCAAGTTTCTATTGATTGCTTGTCCCCTTAAACCCTCGTTTAGTTTTTATATATTTTTCAACTTAGTTGCTATAGTACTTAATTTTCTCTAGCAACAAATTATTTTTACACTTACGTTGTTTTAACAGTATTTTATTAGCGTTAAGTACACAATATTGGGCGTATGTATAAAAATGAAATTTACAATTCCAATAAGATAAATTTTTTTCGGTTGCTATGGATACCTTACTTTGTACAGCATAGTAACAACATATTTTCCGTACTCGGTTTACAAAATATTTGAATACTTTGATTTGGAATTAGCATGGTTTTGTCAGCATATTATGCCCAAACAAGGTCTTTAAATATTATGATTTTTTTTGCTTAAGGTTTTTATAATATTTAAAAAAACTTTTCTTTTTTATATATAATTTTCAAAATCTTTTTACTACCTTTAACAATGTATCTAAAGAACACTATTTTGGAGTCTTTAGATCAATTCCGCTCATCGGCATTAACATGAATTTAGTTTAAATCTTTTAAAAAAGTTTCTTAATTTACGACTGATCTTAGTTCTAATCGGTTCTGACTTATATTACCTATATATAGTTGTCAAAACACAATATTTTTATCAATTTTCACAAAAAATACTGGAATTCCAATCAAGAAAGAGCTTATAATTATAAAAAATTGCCATTAAACGATCAGAACAGATCATATTGTTAAACTATAATGTTCATTTTACCTAAAAAACCTATTAATATAAAATCTTATTTAAATTTGGACGAGCGATTGTGATTTTAAAATGATTTTTTTTTTTTAAATATTCCACTGTATGGGTTTTTTCGCTACAAACATTTTTATTTTATGATACCGCAAAATTTATTATTTTAATTTTTTTCGTCTTTTTATAATTCACAGACAAGACAATTTAACGGAGTCAACAAAATATCATTCAGACTTTATAATATTTTAAAAGTGCCTTACCTACACCGAGTAGTTGTTTGTAATTTAATTACTAGCATTAACAGTAATTTAATTACTTTTAATTTTAATTACTAACACTCTAACACTTGAAGTAACTTAATTAATAACAAGAGTTAGTAGTCCACGCGGTATATATATTATAATATTAAACTTTTAAATACAAAATATTTGTTGTAAGAATTATTTAGATACGGTTTTATCAAACTTAGACATTCATAATATTCTGCAAAAGAACAAAATTAGTATTACAAAACTATTAACTGAAGATATATAAAAGTTTATTCAGCCATAAATTGCTGAATTTTAGGACGTTGATTTTAGGCGTGATGTTCAACGATTTGTTTATTTGTATAAAAAAAAAGTGGAAACCCAGCAAACATGTCAGCGTTGAATCAACGTTGAAAACCGGTCGCAAAAAATGTTGCGGAAACGTTGACAAAGTAATCGATTTTGCAAAGATATGTAACGTTATAAAGAGACATTGATTAAACGTTGTAGCGTAACGTTGAAAAATCGTTACTAAAAGACGTTACAAAAATGTCGCAGCTAAACGTTGAAAAAGCGTTACTTTAAAAGCGTTGCATAGGCGTCGCAACTTAACGTTGAAAAAAAGTTGCATGAAAAGCGTTACTCTAACGTTGTTAAAGCAGTTGATTTAGCAAGGATTTGTAACGTTGGTAGTAAAACGTCGATTTAACGTGACTCAAAGACGTCGAGTAAAGGTTGAAATATAACGTTAAACCAACGCTCAAATGCGCTGGAGAAAATATCGCAAAATATTATTAAACGTGATTAAACTTGGCTATAATGTATATTGAATTTGCAAATAAAACAAAATTGTATGTTGAACTCTGCACTTGCAATATTTGCAAAGTCGATTTTAAATACAAATAGTAATATACAATGAAAAACATAACAAATATACAATTTATTTATATAAAATTTACAATTTATAGATAAAAATATACACATCTTTTTTAAGATTTATGTGTGTGAGTGAATTTACAGGATTTACGTGTGTGAGTAAAATTTAGGTGTGTGAGTGGATTTACAGGATATCGTATCGATAAGCCAGGATATCATTGAGATAAAGAATCTAAATCAAAAAATAAAACTTGTATCATTATCAATCTGAAAACAAATGTTTAAAAAATGTTATTAAATTAGTATGATTGTTATCAAATTTAAAAAGTAAAAATAAATAAATATATATATACATATATACATATATATATACTGATCTTATCTTTTTACTTTACCCCAGAGTAAAACAGAGCTATTTACAAGGAAATCTAACTCTAGTTTGACTATGGAATATAACGGCCATACTCTTCCTGACAGTAAAATATTTTTGCTAAACTTTAAATTAACCCATTGTTAAACATCGAAATTACTCTAGCTTCCAATACTAAAACTAATTCTCAATTAAACACTTCTACAATGTATGTTTCAGACAAGATTTCCTTCATAGTCTCAAAAAAGTGTTCCCATCTATCAACAATTTTTGCTAAACTTTAAAAAAGTGCTAAATACGTGGTTCCAATTTTTCAAATCTCTAGAAAACACTTTGACCTCTCCAAGTATCCTACGATTCTTCTTCACTTTGCTATTAGTTTCTTACAACTTTCTATGAAAAGGTTTTGAGGTGATAAAATTACTCATTACTAACTACAGTAGCGAAGTTATTCTTGAAGGCCTACCCTCTTTATTATTAAGTAACTTTAAGGTTCTATATTTGTTCCTGTAATATTTTATATCTACAATAACAATCATAATAAAATCTAAAGTGGCTCTATTTGCTGATGACTCCACTTTATACTCTTGTCTTGACAATAAATCTTCACTTTTTAATTGCTTAGAACAAGCAGCAAACTTTTAAATCTGATCTCTCTTCTGTAATAACCTAAGGCTGGCTATGTCTTATGGACTTAAATTCTGGACTTAAAATCCACAGTTTTTGTTAGACAACAAAATTTATTTATTTACTACAAAAAAATATTGCAATATTGTTGGTATTCCTATATTGACAAATAAAATATATATATATATAATTATTATTATATATTAAATAATAATAATAAAAATAATATATAATAATAATAATATAAATAATAATAACAATAATAAATATATATATATATATTTATTATTGTTATTATTATATATTTATATATATATATATATATACATATATATATATATATATATATATATATATATATATATATATATATATATATATATATATATATTATATATATATATATATATATATATATATATATATATATAAATTTTGCAACTAAAAATAGTCATAAATCCATACATTAATTAACTAAATAAAACTTACTTCAATAGGTGTAACTATAAATCATTAATTTAAATCATATTATGTACTTTGTTCATAAGATGCAAACCAGTTAAAACCAAATCATTCCTTGATCTTTGATCCACCAGAACTTTACTAAATAAATTTATACTGGTAATCAAACTACCACAAGTCAAAAAATTTAGAGAAGAAAAAAGAAAATTATTCACAAACATAATTACTTTCATTCTTCTTTGGAGTCCTCTTTAGCCGTGAAATTAAATCCTGCACATACTTCTTTATTTATTAGTTATTGTTTAGAAAAATAAATATAAACAAAATTATGTAAAAACAAAAATATAGAATTAGTGTAAACAGATTACAATATATATCTAGGCAATAATAATACCATAAACAGATTCAAAATATTACTTATTCCGAAATAAAAATAAAATAGTTTATTTGATATAGTACTTCACCGTTAATAAAAAGCTATAACAGTTTCTTTATTCCTATAAAACAATTAAAATATCAATAATTACTGTAAAATTTAATGACCTCCAGTTACTTTAACTCTTTTAAGTCTAAGCTTGTTGCAGGAATCAACGATTGGAAAATTATTATAGGTACCTTTCATTGCATTAACACAAATTGGCCAAAATAACCATCTTTTTTCGAACAAGATGGAACAACTGTCTTTGCTTCAAACCTCATGTATATGTAAATATTGTATATATAAATCTTTATATATACATTATTTACATATATATTTATATATATATATATATATATATATATATATATATATATATATATATTATATATATATATATATATATATATATATATATATATATATATATATATATATATATATATATATTATATATATATATATATATATATATAATATATATTATATATATATATATATATATATATATATATATATATATATATATATATATATATATATATAATATATATAATATATTTTTTTTTTTTTACGGAAAAAAACACATACTGAAACTTTTTAGTCTCTGTGTAATAAGGTATCTATATATAATATAAAACAGAAAGTTCACATCCTGAGGTAATCCAATGTTATTAAAGGGTAAATTTACAAGTGTTCTCATTGTTGGTGATTTTAATTATAGTGATATCAGATGGAGTGATTTGGGTGGCAAATGTAAAAAGGGTAAACAGTCTAGTAAAATATTTTTAAAAACTATAGATGATTGC